GCCGTGAGATATTCGGCGAGTCGCATGAAGGGTGCGCTGCATCCTGCTTAGGATGTTCGGCATCTTGTGCTTACTTCCTTGCGTACGGATGACAGATGCGTATGACTTAATATATTTTCGGGTGCTTTCACTTCTTGAGACAGTTGTAAGCACTGTGTAACTGCCTCGAGGGTGCTTGACCATTTTAACCCAACGTGGTGCGATCATCCCCCTTGCGCGGAGCGAGGGTTCTCCACCCAGCACAACATGATCTACTCGACCACCATTATGGTTACCGCCAAAAAAGAAACCGGAGGTAAAAAAAAGAAACGGTAACCTGGTTGCCCGAGTTCACGAAAAGAATTGGCTTGTTTTACAACGTCTTTGCCAAGCGACGAAAACCCAATCCCGATGGCAAACACCGGGGGGGGCGGGGGGGGCACAATGGCAAGGTAGACGAAGACATGAGGAGATGAGGTGGAAAAAGCGTGGGTTTTGCGGAAGGGCGAGTATACAGGGAAATGGTTGGAAGAGGCTGATGTAAAAGAAAAGAAGGTCGGTCGCGGGTGACTGTCCGCGGCTCATAATGAAGGATGTGTAGGTTGATTTGGAATAAGAAGACGCAAACCGGAAATATGTGTCGGGATGATGAAGGCAAGGAGAGAAGCTATGGAAACAACGTCCGGGCATGGGGAGGTTGCACCGGCGAAAGATGGCATAGTCCATTGAGACGGACATGACGGACACTACGCCGTGACCGAATTGTCGAGGTGCAGAGCGTGTGGTGCACGCAATGACGGGAACGAAGGATGAACAACGTAGATCTGATGTAGTTGGTATTATGAGGTAGTGAAGACGAACGTGAAGCCCAAGTGAGGTATCTGTCGCTTCGCAGTCGTCCATTGGACCCACGACGCACGGTACACGCATAAGTTTGAGATGAAACACAGCGGTGTGACTATAAGCGAAGGGGTAGTTCCCCTCCGGTATGACCGGTATGAATCGACGTGGGATGTTCATGGAACGGAAGAATCGGAAAAATTTCATCCATACTAACACGAGAGGCCCCCATTGAAGAGATACGACATGAAAAACTGCCGAGAAGCATGAAAGGCAAAAACAGAAAAGCATGAGGACGGCGCGAGGATGAACATCATGACCCCCCGAAACGTACGTCGATTGACGAAAACATACTCCTAACGAAACATGGAAGTATCGTTCCGAAAGCACAATGGCTTCAATCATTAATCAAATTCATCGTTGAAGAAAATGAAGCGAAGGAAGCGCAGCACTCATCATGCGGCATAACGACCGGATCACATAACATTATGCAGCGAGAAACGGCGCGGTCGGGCCAGAGAGAAAATGAAAGAAACCATTTATGGGGTAAAATGTTTCGAAAGACCGGAAAAGAACGGTGACGCATACATGTACGACACCCGATACAAAAAATATGACAGAAACTATGGATGGGCGAAAATCGGCACAAGGACTGGAAAATAGGATGAGACGGACGACATGTACGAAACTCCGGCAATGAAACGAAACCCAATAATAGGAATAAAAGAAAACACGGGGAACATGAATGTGCGGTTTTCTACGTTTCTCCGACATGAAGGTAACAAAGTATCTCCCCACGAAATATAACGTGGTGTAGTCGTGCTCTATAGGTAGCGGCGACCTTGAAAACAGCGTTGTTGACCGTGTCGTACCCATCACGGTTGATTCTGTCCTGTGTGGTCAAAATATCCATTCCGTTTGACCGACGCACTCGGCAAAGCCGACGTACCAACGACCGTACGCTAAAGCATCCAGCGTGCCAACCCTTGCCATGCAACCAAAACCAACATTATAATACGGAGACACACGACGGTGAGCTTTGCTACGTGTCTTCGACATGAACGCAAGTACAGTATCCCCCCACGCAATTCGACGTGGTCCAGGCGTGCTCTATAGGTAGCAGCGAGTTGAAGACCACGTTGGTCACGTTAGCGACTCATCACGAGTTATTGAGTCCTGGTCAAAATAATCATACGATTCGACCTGCGTCGGGAAAGGGTCAACCAAAAAATGACCGTGCGCGAAAGCGTCTAGCGTGCCAATCCTTGCCATGCAAGCAAACCCAATACAAAAAACAACACGGGAGAGACGGTGAGCTTTGCCACGTGTCCTCGACATGAACGCATGTACGGTATTCCCCAAGAAATATGACGTGGTCTACTGCTTGCTGTAGGCGTGCTCTACAGGTAGTAACGACTTGAAAACAACTATGTTGACGGTGGCGTACCCATCACAATTAATTCTGCCCTGGGTAGTAAAAATAATAATGTAAATTCGACCTACGTACTCGGGAAAGATCGACGTACAAATGACCGTGCGCGAAAGGATCCAGCGTGAGGTTCAAGCAAGTACGGCCAAGCGTTTGTCCTTGAGCACGGGCACGGTGGACCGTGATGCTACAATAAAACACAAGCGCACGGGGAATTGGACCCTCTTCGCGGTTACTCCCTGCGATGTCACGAAACTGAAACCAATACAACAACATGCTGTCGTGGTGACAACAGCACGCGAGGCGGGTCGAATACTGGGTGCTGTAGTCGCGGCCGAATGTTCTGCTATTCGCCACCAGTGTGAATTGGTCCGAGGAAAGAAACAGCTGTAATGTTTCCTGAATGCATCGTCTACATGCGACCTTTGCCGCAATATGGCACATGGTGTGTACTCGCCTACGTTCGTCGTCTTCGTCGATAGTGGTGTGTCGTCCATCGGTGACGGACACCATGGCATCACACTTGGTGATGTTGAATCGTTTATTTGTGGTCGATGGTAGGGATAGAGGCGTGTGGTGGTGTGTACGTGTGCACCGGTTGCAACTTTCGGCGAGGCTGTCGGGAATGTCATTTGGAGAACAGAAAACGACCTTCACGTTCGGTTCCCTGTTGTTCTCGAATGTTGTGTTTGTGGATTGCTGGACGTACCATATGGTCGGCACGATCATACTGTATGTACCCGTGTAGTTGTTGATTGCCGATTTAGCCCTCCAATACGAACCTACAGCAGCGTAGTGGCCACACCCTCGCTGGTGCTGTATGTGTGTGTGTGCTTTTATTATTAGCATCGACCGCGCTAACCGGCTGACCAATGAAAAGACGTCAGTCTGAGTGCGGTTGAAAACACAAAACACTTCTATCTACCATGAACTGGGACCCCGTGAGGGGGCAGCATGGGGGAGGCTAAGCTATCCTTCGGATCAAAAACAGAAACAGCAGCAACAGACGAAAAATGCACCCGTCTACCAAGGCTATTACCTAGTACTCGAGTTCGTTTAGGAGTACTTTCACCAGTATCCTCCTTGTTTTCGCTACCATTGTTCTGATCCTCATTTCGACAAGAAGAATCTCTGGGCAGTTCTTCCCTAGCCCTACGTTTCTTGTTGTGGGGAAGGTCATCTGGCTCAAACCCTTTGCTCTCTTCCACTCCTCCATGTTTTCCTGCTCCATGGTCGTCTTCGTCCTCCTTTCTTCCCTTTCCCTTTCCTTCGTCTTCGTCACTCCCAAAAGAATTACCCTCACTACTATCGTTGTCGCAGAAATCCCAACCGATTGGCTTTGGTGGAAGTTGGTCGATCAGTAGCCCATGATGTTTGAACACATCGCGAGTTCGCATCGAAAGAAAACGAGCTAGCTCGAAGGTAAACCGTCTCCGAATCCTGTTAGTATGAAACGCTTTCAGGCGAACTAAGGCTCTTTCGTCTTCAAAATTCCCCCGGCAAAACGCTTCGTGCGCCAAATGGTTGGCGATAGCCACGATGAGTCGATTGGTGCCTTTGCCAAGACCACCATTCGTTGAAAAAGCAGCAGTAAGGAGGGTAGATCTAGACGGGTTGAAAGTTCCCGCATAGTGATTTGCCTTACTTGCAGCTCGATCTTCGAGGGCTGATCCTGGCTTAAGGATCGACTTGTCGATGCTTCGACCTGCTGATGGGTTGACGATTGTTACGTCGATCAGAATGGACTTGGTGCAGAGGTCCTCTTCCTTCTCTCCTGCGTGTAATCCTGGGGGGATTACCAAATCCATCTTGTATAGCCCCTTTCCCCTACCAGTGCCTGTGGTAAAAGGGGAAGAATCCTCAACGGCGATGGGCATATGGCACTCGCGCAGTGTCTTGAGGACCACTCGAACCATCCTGTTATGGAGGAAGGTTGAGGCGCCGGTCTTGGTGCAGACGAGGGAGTGGGCTCGGCTCAAGCGGTCCTTGCATGGTAACAATGCACCTGCACCACAAAGTTTGCCTGTGTTGCAGTCTGCTCGATCGTGACTCCCCAGTACACGACCGATTGACTCTCGATATAGATCAGGCAGCATTCTTTCATCTGCTGACAACCCTTGCGTTGTCAACCACGACAAAACTCCCTTGCCTTTCGCTTCCTCCAAGCGGATTAACGCCCTCTTCTTTGGCGTTTCCTCGCCTACTACTTTCTGCAAGTCTGTCTCCACCATGTGGCGCACTGCTGCATGAAGAGGTTTCGAAAGGAGAGCTTGGGCTCCAAAGACTTGGTAGTGTTGACCAAATTCATTTCGGCTGAAGGTAGACGGTGGTTGATGTTCTACGTCAGGGTTTCCATCTTCACGGGGTTTTCCCGCCTTCCCTGCTTCCAACAAGTAAACTCCTTTGAGGGCGGGGGTTAACTCATCACTTGTGGCAAGTTTAGCCCATGACTGCCCAACAGCTTTTTCAAGCTTGTCTTTGGTGATTATTTCCTCTAGCTTCTTCAGCGAGTCAATCAGAGCCAACCCTGTCGGTAGCTGGGCAAGCCGGGGTAGACATTGCTCAACTGTGTATCCTGTCGATGCTTGCACTGACTTGGAGAACACCAGCGCTTGCCCTGCCACAAAAGCCGATTCTCGAATGAGAACATTGCTCGTGATTCCTAGTCCTCCTTCTCGCATGGGTAGGTGCACCTGCGCCCGAGCTGTCCCTTTGAAGAAATCTACCTCCTCGCTCTTCGTCGGGTCTGCGCGTACCTCTTTGACCGTTGGTATTCTCATGCTGTCGGCCATCTTGCCAAGGACGATCTTACTCATTGCCCACATCATCATGTTGTCATGTATTTTTGCGGCAGAGTTGGTGATAGACGGTGCAATCGTCCTCAGCAGATGGAACAAACGTGGCACACCAGATAAACGCAGCAGTTGATAGCTGGCTTGAGGGTCGTCAAGCGTTGCTAGGCGGAGTATCAATTCCGCCGGGTCACCACGGGCGATTTTGGAAACGAAATTCCTCTGGAACTCCTCTGTTCCTACTGGGATCCCGACAACTGGCATGCCACCTTCAGCAACTGACAGACCAATTTTCGTCAATTGTTGCTGTTCGTCGTTTGTCAAAGAGGACATGCAAAGACCTTCCGGGAAAAGCACTTTGGATTTCGGGAGACTGAGCTCAATGCCTTTTTGGGAGAGACGTTCCTGAATCCAATTCGTTACAGTGGATATGGCCTGCATGTTCCTAGCCAAACCTGGTGGAAGATGTGCTTGGAGGTCGTCGACGTATCCGATGAGTTTCACTCCTGGCACTGGTGGCTTGTTGTTGAACTCTTTCATGATATCAAGAAGTCCTACACAGAAGCCAAACCCTCCCAAATTGCAGCCTTGTTGAACTCCGCGCTGTGAAAGAACAACCTCGATCGAACCATCTTCCATTTTGAACAGAAGTTTCGCCTTGGTTCGAGCGTAGATGTTCCCGAAGTACTTCACCAAGTGTGGCGTATGAGTGGCCACTGCTGGCAAGATGGAAGATCTGCGCATGCTGTTGTAAGCGTTTTTCCCATCAAAGGAGAGAATGGTGCTGCCTTGCTGGTGGCTGAGGGCTGCTGTGGAAGCCACTATTTCAACTCCTCCTGGAACACCACCTCCGAACTGATTTGCTGCTTCGACGATGTTCGCAATTCCTCCCTTGTACTGGCGGCAGAAGCTGCCGCTGATGATGCGATGCAAAACCCCTCCAACTACAATCGGCCGTTTTTTCTCTCCCAGCGCTGAAAGGTTGGCACCGGTGTGGAGGTTCCAAAAGAAATCCGGAAGCTCGTCCTTTTTATTATGGCGACAGTCCCCCCTTTTTCGTGGTGAGACGTGTCCTACACTTTTCAGCGTAGTATGTAGAGTACTAGTCTACACTTTTCAGTGTAGTTTTTTCGTACAACTACAACCATCCAGGGTCACACAGGAGGGGGTAAACACCAGGGCTTTTTTCGTCTTTTTATTCCTTTTCATGCCCCACCTTCCTCCTGCGGTGCGTGCTGAATTTTAAGACGAAAAAAGCCCNGGGCTTTTTTCGTCTTTTTATTCCTTTTCATGCCCCACCTTCCTCCTGCGGTGCGTGCTGAATTTTATTTTTATCGCGAGAAGGGTCCAGCCGTCCCTCTCCCTCGTCAACGGTGCTAACGTCGAAGTTTGGTACTCACGAGAGCCTTTTTGCAATATATCGCTTTCACCCGCAGATTTCGTAAACTTGTCACCCCATGGGGATTCGAACTCACGACCTCTGCGACTAGCGGATGACGAGGATACTACTAGACCACCGGGGCGACCGGTGTGCTGTATACGAAGTGTACGTTGCATGCCGAGGGTGTGCTGGTGTGCTGGTGAACCGCTGTACACAGGTTGCTTGTAGGTTTGTAGCAAGACACTGACACGCCTTCGCCCTCTACGCGCCGCCAAAGGTGAAGGAATGCGTGGAGTGATACGATGAAGGCGCATGAACGGCTGTGCCGTTTCGTGCTGTGTTGTTGCTGTATTAGTCTACATATAGCTGCTGCTGGCTGGACATGTAGACTACATGTGCGCATATGTCCTGACCATCAGCTGCTGACAGTCCTCCAGTGTACATCTGCTGGACTGCCGTCCTCTCGGACGCGTTATGCAGTGAGGGCTTTTCTCCAATCCTCGGATGGTGTCTATACATGGTCGGCGTCGTACTCATATCCGCCGAAGACTCAATCTAGGCACACAACAACTGTAGTCATACCCGCCAAGGCTTCACCCGGTTACTCACCAGCTGAAAAATATGCGGGATTATTTTTTCATTTTTCGACCGCAGTCTATTTTCAAGTAAAATGACGATCGACGGTCGTCGACGACGTTCTGCGAGTATTTAGTTGAGGTGATGATGTGCAAATATTTTGCTCATGAGAATCGCGGCGGCCATGGTCAGCTTACGGTGCTTCTGTCGCTCGGCGTTTGCCGATCAAACGTTGATACAAGTTACTAGCCGGCTGATGTGTATAATCCCGCACCATTGAAGTTGCTATTGCTCAGCTAAGGGTAGTACGCGGTAAGGTGCTCTAAACACCTATAGATAGACTATGCGTGCGTCAGCGCCTTGGTAAAACGCGTGCACACACTTCAAAAGTTCCCCGAGTAACATATTTCCTCTGCATGGTCCTGTGGTGATTTCCCCCACACCTTCCCATTGCCAAAAGATATTCTGATCGTCCAACGCTGACAGAAAGACGGAAGAGGGAATATGAATGTTGATGCCAGCGCGGCTGCTGGGTGTTAGGACTACAAACTACAGTATTTTTAGTCCTGCCGCACACGTCTTCATCAACGTCCGTACTTGCCTTTCGTGCCACTGCCGGCGGGAGGGGCGTCCTGCGAGTTCTCCCCAGGCTCAAGAGTGACGTGAGAGGCGTCATGCTCCATTCCGTGTTTTGAACGGGCGTTCCGATGCCATATGCAGGAAACAATGGAAATGATACAGGAGCACTACGGAGAGAATAATCTACACCAGAGACGTAGACTGATTGTCAGTTGGTGTTGATCGAACGAGAACGAAAGGGCGTACGAACATGTACCGGTTCGACAAAATGAAGTCCAACCGACATTAGTTCCGCCGCCTGCACCCCGTACCCCCCCCGTACAACCCCGTACACGGAGCTCCCTCCTGCTGCTTCTGCCTCCTCAGCTAGCGTTGCATATAATCATGAAGTGCCATGCCTCTCAGGTACCTGCTACGGAGAACTCACGTGGACATTCGGCGTCCAACAACAGGGCGTCGACCCGGCAGTCTGACTGGCGGGAGGGTTGGCAACGCGAGCGGCATTGGCAGCAGCACCGGCAGCACCATGATGGCTTGGAAAACAAGAGATCGGGCGATTTCTTCAGCGACGAAAAGTGGTTATACTTGTCCTCTAGGGGCTCTCCGCCTCCCCCCTCCTCCCCTCCCCGGGGGAGGCCGAGGCCCGCAAGTGCAGTTAACCCTCGAAAAAACCACCCAACAACGACGGATATACGGTCCCTAGCACCGTGTAGGAGAGGATCCTGAGTTTGGCGGTCGGGAGTTACCGCGGTCACGAGATCGAGGTAGGTCGTGATAAGCCAACTTGGAGACAGCTGCCGATGGGTTTGAACCCA